ACAGATGCATTGCCGCACCTATATCAGTCGGTGCGGCAGTGCGTCCATGGGACCGCCGGCCTCAGAGCTAAAGGCCACATCCAAAATCCAATACTTGCATTACACGATCCTAAATAGGCCACGAGCAAAAACACAGCAGGTTTTAGTATTCAGTGTTGGCCACGACATGTAGATAGACTAAACGGAGGACACGAAAGAACAAGAGAACACGTAACGTATGTCTTGTGGGTGGGTGTTGTGTTGTTCGCGTGGTGCACCGCATGGATAGCGTGTTTTAAAAATTGTGCTCATTTTGTCGTTCTCTGCCGGTCGCCACTTACTCCGACATACATGATAATTTTCAGTGTTTTCTCCTGAGTTTCTTGCGTTCAGTTGAGTCTCATCGGTATTTAGATGTGTGCACCGTTCAGGCGGTGGAGTTTTTGTGTATCGCCATGTTTTTACCGAGCAGTTTCAAGACTCTTGGGTTGGGTCCTCCCCCCCCCCTCTTCTCCTAGTTCAAATCTGTGAATCCCCTTTTTGTTTGTGTGTTTGTGTGCCAAGTATGCATAGTCGGCGTCCATTGTCGGTCCTCCTTCTCCTGAATCCAATCCGTGAATCCCCTATTTTGCGTGTGTGCCGAGTAGGCGGCATCGGCCATCGGAGTCAGAGACCCGGAGCTGGAGAGCGCTCGCAGCCTGTGCCGAGACATACAGCACCGGAAAGACCTGGTCAACAAGCTGCGGAAGGTGGGCGTTGTTGCTGTTTGTCGTGTGGAGGGTGTTGTTGCTGTCCCTGGTGCTATTTTCGTGCAGCTGGTGGCGCAGATGATGGGTTGCTGGTGTTGTTGTTGTCGCTGGGAGCGGGTGCTGCCTGTTGGTGGTGTTTGCAGAAGACTCCAACAGCAGTTGTAGCCACCACGCCACCGATCAACCTCGTACCGTTGTTGCTGTATGCTTCTGCTGCTGCTGCTGCTGCTGTTGCCTTTGCTGCTGCTGTTGTTGTTGTTGCTGATGATTAGCGCTGTTGTTGCTGCTACATACTGCTGCTGCTGCTGGTGTTTTTGTTGTTGTTGCTGCTACATACTGCTGATGCTGCTGCTACTGTAGTTGTTGAGATTATGGTGTTAACGCCGTTGCTACAATTGCTGCTGCTGCTCCTGCTGCTGCTGCTGCTGCTGCGGGTAAATAGGCGACCGTGGGGGCGGGCACGTGCCTCGAAGAAGGTGGGGACCCAGTGCCCCACCTCGAGGCGTTGGACCCCATACTGGCCGAGCTTCGAGAGCTGGAGACTACCGTCAAGAAGGCTCCCACGGAAGAGGTTGATGACGCCAGGTGTGCTGTGCTGTGCTGCTCTTGTCAATGTTTGCTGCTGCTGCTGCCGTTGTTGTCTCTGATGAGGATGACTTTGTTGTTGTTGCTGCGGTTGTTGGTATTGTTGCTGCTGTCGCTGTCTTGGTCGTTTTTGTTGTTTTTGTATTTTGTTGTTCGGGTGTGTAGTGTTGTTACTCTTGGTGGGGTGGGTTGTCGTTGTAGGGATGGAGTTGCTGCTCTTCTTGTTGCTGTTGGTGGTTGTGTGGTGCGTTGATATGGTGTTGATGTTGGTTGTTTTGTGTTGTGTTTCTTGGCCGCAAACAATGACGCAGTGGTGCCCTTTCGTCGAAGAGCTCCTCGAGCATGGCTCAAAGCAAATCTTTCGCATGGTGTTCCAACACACGTGCGATACTTTGTTCTTCCGGAACTCTTTTCAGGGCTATCCGGCAGGAGCTTAAGCACCTACAGGAGGCGCCGGTGCTGCAGGCGATGGAGAAGGAAATGGCCAGGGAGAAGCCGGACATGGGTACCCTCAGGTCAGACTCGTCAGCAACCTTGCCGTTTACTCCTCCGCGTTGTTACTGACGATGGTGATGATCATGTCCATGTTGTTGTCTTGGTGTCTTCGCCATGTGTTGTTATCGTGATCGTTGTCGGTGGTGTTCGTGTTGTTCATTGCTTACACGTCTTCTTCGCGGCATTCAGATGCTGGTTGACCATTTGTTTCGGGATTTGTTCCCTTGGGCGCCCCCCCCCCCCCCAAAAAAACGACACCGCTGGGACTCTATTCCTCTCCCGGGATGAAACATGTTGATTGGTCGGCCGGTCGGTGTGGCCTGGCCATACCAAGAACAATGGTAAAACAACCACATCAACTTTGGCCACACACGCATGCTTACCTGCTGTGCGTCCGTCGTCAACAGGTCTTTGATCGCCATGGCTTCGGACGAAGTCGGGGTTGAGCTTGGCACGGAGACGGTGGACAGGTGCAAGGCGGCCCTGCAACGAGCGGAGGAGCTCCAGGTAAATAGAGATATCAACAGCAGTAAGTAGAGATATCAACAGCAACACATGATCGACGGCTCGCTTCTGTCTCTCTCCGTAGGGCCGGCAAAGTCGCACGGCTCCACAACGAGCAGGTTCATGCAATAGCGCATCGTGCATTCCTGTACGCACGAACGAATCGTGGATCCACGTCTGCAGGTTTCAGCAGTGTGCCACACAGGATAACACCGGCCCACCACACCGCGCTGCAGCACACGGGTGGTGGTGTTGCAATACTAATTGAAATACTAAATAACTGGTTCACGGAACCAGAACGGCGTGTGCGAACCCTACCTACTACACGGGGTGGTGGGTGGTATTGTACTACTATAGTAATTGAACACTAACGGGTGTGCGAATCCTACCTACTACGAGGCATGCCGCCCCACCCCCCACTCCCTCTCCATATTGGTGAAGGCCTAGGACGCGGGTCAAGCATGATTCCACGACGGTTGGTGCTGCCATCACGCCTTTCAAACACACCTGAATATCATCATGTCGCCCCTTACCCCCCCCCCCCCCCCCACAGGCCGAGGAAAAAGCCCCTGCCGATGCGGAACAGGCTAACGTGATCCAGGAACCCCACCTGGAGGAACAGGAAGAGGCGGCCAGGGCAACGGCTGCGGCTGCCCTGGAAGCCCAAAAAAACGCGGCGGCCGCGGCAAGGGCGGCGGTGGAAGCTGAAGAAACTGTTAACCTTGCCGGGATGTTCCCTCTCCTCCTTGTGGAACGTACGGCTGTATGTAGCCTGGGCCGGCGAAAACCCGGCATGT